ACTCACGCCATGATACTCACGCCATGGTTCTCACGCCATAATTCAAGCTCTTTAACTCAGGCTTTACAGCCAGATCCAGGGAACACGTAGGACAGGGCTTCCCTGGTGGTCCAGTGGTTGAGGATCCACCTGTCAATGCAGGGGACATGGGTCCGATCCCCGTTCTGGAAGATTCCACAATCTATGGGGCAACTAAGGTAACTAAGGCCACAACTACTGAGCCTGTGCTCTAGAGCCCGGGAACCACAGAGGAGAGTACTCCCTGGCCACTGCAACTAGAGAAAGCCTGCATGCAGCAGCCAAGACTCAGTGCGATCAAAAAATAGTTAATTAATTAAAAAAAACATTTAGTACATATACAGAGATAGGAAACCACATGCTTATTCATGGTTGCTTGAGGGCAGGGATCCCAAGATGGTTTGGATGGAGTGGCAGCTGGCCAGTGTCATTGTACGAGGAGAGCTACAAGAGCTATTAGGTACCATGGGAGGACAGGGCAGGGCTTAGGTAAGGCTTCCTGGGGAAGGTACTGCTCAACCAAACTGTGGTACATACATGTAAATTCGAATTGGAGAAGCATATGGTAGATTGGTTACAAAAATGTCTGAAATTTTTCATTCCTCCCTACATCCCGGCCCTTTGTGATTAACTTTGCAGCTCTTCTCATAGAAAGCAGAGTCTATTTCTCAAGCTTTGAATCTTAGAACTTGCTTTGGCCAATGGTGTACGTCAGAAGTGATGTGCCAGTTCCAACCCTTGACCTGCAGATCTCATGTGTTTTTTTTTTCTCTCTCTCTCTCAAACTTTGCCATGGACGTGTGAAAAGCCTGGGCTAGCCTCCTGGATGATAACACCACGTGGTCCAGTCATCCCAGTCCACAGCTCACCAACCATCCTAAACCAGCCAGCTGCCAGCCAAACCAGCAACTGACTGCAGAGACCTCCGTGGGCTCATCAAGGTCAGCCAGGCCTGGCCCAGATTAGCAGAATTGCACCACTGACCACCAGCCTCATGAGCAAAAATCAAGGTTTATTTTGTTACATCACTGAGGTTCTCTGGTTGTTTTTTATAAAGCAGGATTATCATAAAAAGGTAGGCAGGTCTTCTTTTACAAGGCTAAAACCAGCATGGTAGGGACTGCACTGTAACCCTACTACACTTGGCTTGTTTTAAAAAAAGATATAATGGGACTTTGGACTTCCCAGGTGACTCTGTAGTAAAGAATTCACCTGCCGACGCAGGAGACATGGGTTTGACCCCTGGGCTGGGAGGATTTCCTGGAGAAGGAAATGGCAACCCACTCTAGTATTCTTGCCTGGAAAATCCCACGGACAGAGGAGCCTGGTGGGCTACAGCCCATACATGGGACTGCAAAAGAGTTGGACACAACTGAGTGACTGAACAGTAGGAATGGAACTTCCTTGATGGTTCAATGGTTAAAACTCAGCACTTCCAATACAGGGGGCCCAGGTTCAATTTCTGCTCAGCAAACTAAGATCTCACATGTCACAAGGCATGGCTAAAAAGTAAAAAATAAAATAGGAAGGATGTAATATTCACTTGGTCCAGGACAAGGTTTCTCAAACTTGATGCTATTGAGATTCAAGGCCCAGTCATTCCTGTGGGGGACTCCTCTGTGCATCAAAGTATGTTTAGCAGCATCCCTGGCATCCCACTAGATGCCAGGAGCGTCTCCATTTGTGACAACCAGAGTGTCTCCAGACATGGTCACATGTCCTCTGGGGGCAAAATTGCTCCCAGTTGAGAAACATCGCTTCAGAAATCAGTGCAAAAACGTTGTTACCAAATACCCAAAGTCCCCTAACTGGGCACTCTTTCCTACAAGATGGTTCCAGCAACCGATCAGGCTCAGGCCCCATGTGAACACAAGCGCCTTCTGGTGTGGTACCGGAGTGGCCGTAGCCATGGGGGACTCCATGGGGAGGCTTCTGTGAGCTGCTCCAGCTCAGGTGAAACCTTGCTCTGGCAGGGCACACACTGACTCAGCACAATGTGTGGCCCATACAGTGAAGTTCAAAAGTAAAGAACAATGTAAATGCAGGACAGAGGCTGAACTTCCAAGTCACCATATAAATCAGAAGATTTCCTCCAGGTCCCCTGACTTAGACTCTTTTCCTAGTGCCTGGTTTCTCATTCTCAGACCCTTGTGAAAAAGAACAATTCATTATTGCATTCCCATTCATACTTGGATGTGCTGTATAAGGACTCCTATATTATGAGTGCTTCTTAAGTTGGAGTTAAAAAAAATGGTTTGCATTTCTCTTATTCCAAGCCTAACATCTTTTTTTGTTTTTAATTTATTTATTTGGCTGTGTCAGATCTTAGTTGTGGCACATGGGATCTTTCCTTGTGGTGTGCGCATTCTTTAGTTGTGGCTAGCGGGCTTAGTTGCTCCACAGCATGTAGGATCTTAGTTCCCTATCCAAAGATCAAACTGGCATCCCCTGCATTGCAAAAGATATCTTAGCCACTGGACCACCAGGGAAGTCCCCAAAGCTAACATTTAAATCAACATCTCTACTCATAATTGCACTTGCCAGGAGCTAAGTCCCCCTCATGAGAGAATGCCAGATCCAGGCTTTTAACATCACAACTTCATTAGCCCATTCACTGGTTCCAGAAAAAGAAAGGCAGTGAAAGAAGATGGCCAAACATTTGCTGACTTCTACCTCACTGTTTGCTTCTGCATTTCATTGATAATGATATTTCATTGATTACACAAATGGATTTTGGTCTGAAAGGGTACATGCACTCCAGTGCTCATTGCAGCACTGTTTATGATAGTCAAGACATGGAAGCAACCCAAATATCTATCAACAGAGGAATGGATAAAGATGTGGCACATATATACAATGGGATATTACTCAGACATCTAAAAGAATGAAATAAGGCCATTTGCAGCAACATGAATGACCTAGAGATTTTCATACTGAGTGGACAGAGAAGGAGAAATATGTGTAACATCCCTTACATTCAGAATCTAAAAAGAAATGATACAAATGCATTTATTTACAAAACAGAAACAGACAGAGAATGAACTTATTTTTGCTGAGGAAGATAGGGGGAAGGGATAGGGAGTTCAGGATGGACATGTACACACTGCTATATTTAAAATGGATAACCAACGAGGACCCACTGTATATAGCACAGGAAAGTCTGCCTAATGTTATATGGCAGCCTGGATGGGAGGGGAGTTTAGGGGAGAATGGAAACATGTATAAACATGGCTGATTTTCTTTGCTGTCCACCTGAAACTACTACATTGTTAATAGGCTATACGCCAATACAAAATAAAAATGTTAATAAAAATAAATAAACAGATGTGTTTTGGGGAGCCTTAATCCAATTACCTTCTCTAGGCTTCTATTTTCCTAAAATAAAAATAAATTTATCTTGTTTTAGAGGAAAAACTGGTAGAGTCAACCACAAATGATATGATTTCACAAATCCATGAAAACTAAAGAGAACATCCATTAAGAAAAAGAAGAGCAAATCAAAGTTGAAGCTAACTTGAATTCTAAATTCTCAGCGTCTCACAGGCAACCCTGTCTTCTTGATTTATTTAGTTTCCCAGTGGAACTGTGCCCAGTCGTGCATTTTAGGAGTGTGTCAGGAAAAAAAAAAGGTGAAGTCATAGATTCTTGGCATCTTAGTGTTGGATGCAGCCAGACTCTACGAAAATAAACTATTAATCACTTTCTTTGTAACTCGATTGTTATTTGTCCTACGGGGGGTTGTGGTAATGGTTCAGCTTTGTGAACACCTGAGCATATTGGGGTGGAGAAGACAAGAGAGAGTTTGAGAGTTCAGGTGAGGTTCCTCTAAGGTTGTTTTCTGGGAATTTTCATTGAATCTAAGTGCTAGATATGATTGGTTTCAACAAGTATGAAGTCTTTGGACAGAACAAGAAATGCAAAAGTTGTCTCCACAGGCTAATGGCAAAGGATGCTTCAGACTTCATCACCAAGGGCAGCCAAGAATTATCTGCAAGGCAGGGTGATTCCAAAGTGTGCCCTCACCCACCGGGGTCCAGCAGGTGCTGCCCCACATCCATACAGAAGCTATGACATTAAACTGAAGATAAAGCTCAGGTCCCTGTTCCTGCAACAGGCCAAAACCCTGCTTTTTTGTCTCCACAAACATAACAAATCCACTGAGAGGAGAAACAGTCATTTCCATGGATATAGTGACTTGCAGAATTCACAGCACTTTTCCTTGAATACCTTGTTGAACCTCAAAGCTCTGTAACTTACATAGACGAGAGATCATAACCCAAATTTTTAAAATGAAGGAATAGGACTTTGAAGACCTGGTCCATGATCACCGGAGGAATGAGGGTCAGAACAGGGTTTCCTGACTCCAGACCTTGAGCTCTGCCATCACGCCTACTTCTCCAGGCAGATCTGGAACATTCAGATACCTTGGCCCCCGGGTGATATTTTGCTGACCGCAGCTGCTTGTACAATCCCCTGCCCCTGTCCCCCAACACACTCTTATTCCCAAACCAGCACTTTGTTTTCAAACTAAGTGCTTAAACTTAGCATCGTTGGCTTCCACCTTCTCAAAAAGGAATGCAAACAGGTGAGGCAATATGTTCCTTTTGTTGATAGCAATTTTGTTACCGAGCCTCTCAAATCAGGCCCCAGCCAGGGTCCTCTAACCCTGCTGTTGTCCAAGCCAAAAGAGTGAGACTGAGTTCAGTTTGGAAGCAAAGGAAAGCTTTATTCTCTCAACAGAGTGTGGAGAGGTGTCAGCTTGGGCTCTAGAGTAGGGGTCCCCAACCTCCGGGATCTAATGCCTGATGATTTGAGGTGGATCTGATATAATACTAATAGGAATAAAGTGCACAATAAATGTAATGCACTTGAGTCATCCTGAAACCATCCCCTTGCCCCTAGTCCTTGGAAAAATTGTCTTCTTTGAAACGGGTCCCTGGTGCCAAAAAGGCTTGCAGATGGCTACCCTAAAGCACACGCACCCAGGTGGAGGGCGGGGCTGCCTTCTAAGGGTCTCTCGCGGGGAGGGGCGGGCTCTCGAGGGATCAGCCGCCGAGTGGCTGGCGCTCCTGCGCCCGCCGCCTGGTGCAGGCTTTGCACACGGCCTGCCGCCGCCATCTTGAGTCCCGCGTGGTGCCTCGTGCAGCCGCTTTTGCACACGGCCCACCAGGCTGAGGTGTCAGCCTTTCTCAGGAGGAATCTGGTCCGAAGTACCCCGCTCTGGACTGCTGGAATTAGACTGAGCACAAAGGAAAAGGAAAAGGTTAGATTTTATTTGATTACTCAGATTCTACTTTTACTTCCTGAAAATGGTGAGTGGGCTTTGCTGGTGACAATATGAACTCTTACGTGCTTTCGGTCTCATCTGCCTTCTTGAGCATCAATAAACATTCGGAAAACAATATGGATAACAGATAACAAAGCTGACTGCCAAAATGCAGTGAAAAATACTAAGAACAGTATACAAACCCTGACTGGTTAACACGGGGCCTACATGGATTGGCGGTGCGGTGCGGGTGGGGCTCTGGGGGAGGGCCCCGCTGGGAGGAACTGAGATCCACCCTTCATCCCCTTCCCCAGCCCAGCCCCCAACACACAGGGCAAGTTCACGATGGAAGGGGCATTGGTTTACGATCCTGCATATCCACCCTCCCCGCTGACCCCCACCGGGGTCCCTAAAGGTAGCATCAGTGGAGGAGGGGGGACCCTCTTCCTCCATCACACCAGGCATCCACAGCCCAGGTGCCGCACCTGCACTGTCACCTGTACCAGGACCCCAGGGGTAGAGGACATCGCTGTCATTTTATCGGTGAGGTTGGCAAAGTGTAAAGAGGTCAAGCGGGGAAAAAAAAAAGAGGTCAAGTGATTTGACCGAAGCCTCGTGGCTGGAACCACTTGTCGAATCCCAGGAGGGTGACCAGGCCCTGGCACTGCCATTCCCAGGCTGCACCCCAGCCTTTCTCGTACCTACCATGTGTCCGGACCCTGCCCACACGGGCAAGGAGGCCTTGGGAGGGAGCTTCAGAAACTTAGTTCAGGGAGATAACCTCAAGATACTCATCAGGAAAGCTATTTAAATGCCTTATGCTTGCAGATCTGAGCCAAGATCCTCAGGCAAGAATTTTTCATAGATGATTGGAGTTCACACTTTAATATTCCCATTTCCCAAGGAAACTAGAGAAACACAAGTCGTACCATTTTTCTATGCAATAAGGGGTTTCAAGTTAAGAAGATACTATTTAAAACGTTTTTTTTTAAAAAAAAAAAAACCCTGCAGAGACAGAACAAAGACTGCTTCTTGATTCTGAAGCTTCGTCAGGCCAGAAATGCCTGACTCTTCCCCTAGACCCTCTGGTCCCCTTCCTCCACATCTCCATAATCAGATATTCTTTCTCCTCAGCTGTTGTCACAGTAACCACTTGAATCATGTGGCTGTCAATTTACAGTCAGCTTATGGAGCTGCTTGTAATTCTTACTCCAAGGCATGGTGACAGCTCATTCAGAACTAATCAAACGTTTATTGATAGAAAACCAAGGGGCACAGGCTCTTCACTGAAATTCTTCGGTTCCTTGGCAAGGGCGAGAGCAGGGGGAAATGACTCGCAGGTGGGGGTTGGGGGCCATTCTGTGTCTGGCAAAGAGTCTTGGAAGTCAAGGAAGCCTGACTTGACTGCTCTTTAGCTGTGCTTTCTAGGCAGGCAGTGAAACCCAGCTGAGTCTCCACTTCTTTCAAGAGCCTGTTGTAAGGCTTGAAGATAATAAAACAAAAGGCCTGGCTCCCAGGAAGGAGTTAGTATCCAGCAACCATTGTAAATAAAAGTTATAAAGATGGAGTGAAACAAAATCATGGTTTAAGACTGAAAACTAAATGAACGGAATTATTTAATCCAGCAGCTACTTTCAAAGAGAAGTACTTTTTAAAAACACGCTTATTTTTTTTTTATATATATACTTTTTTCATTTATTTTTATTAGTTGGAGGCTAATTACTTTGCATCATTGCAGTGGTTTTTGTCATACATTGAAATGAATTAGCCATGGAGTTACATGTATTCCCCATCCCGGTCCCCCCTCCCACCTCCCTCTCCACCCGATCCCTCTGGGTCTTCCCAGTGCACCAGGCCCGAGCACTTGTCTCATGCACCCAACCTGGGCTGGTGATCTGTTTCACCCTAGATAATATACGTGTTTCGATGCTGTTCTCTTGAAACATCCCACCCTCGCCTTCTCCCAGAGTCCACAAGTCTGTTCTATACATAGGAGTCTCTTTTTCTGTTTTGCACATAGGGTTATCGTTACCATCTTTCTAAATTCCATATATATGTGTTAGTATACTGTAATGGTCTTTATCTTTCTGGCTTACTTCGCTCTGTATAATGGGCTCCAGTTTCATCCATCTCATTAGAACTGATTCAAATGAATTCTTTTTAATGGCTGAGTAATATTCCATGGTGTATATGTACCACAGCTTCCTCATCCATTCGTCTGCTGATGGGCATCTAGGTTGCTTCCATGTCCTGGCTATTATAAACAGTGCTGCGATGAACATTGGGGTGCACGTGTCTCTTTCAGATCTGGTTTCCTCGGTGTGTATGCCCAGAAGTGGGATTGCTGGGTCATATGGCAGTTCTATTTCCAGCTTTTTAAGAAATCTCCACACTGTTTTCCATAGTGGCTGTACTAATTTGCATTCCCACCAACAGTGTAAGAGGGTTCCCTTTTCTCCACACCCTCTCCAGCATTTATTGCTTGTAGACTTTTGGATAGCAGCCATCCTGACTGGTGTGTAATGGTACCTCATTGTGGTTTTGATTTGCATTTCTCTGATAATGAGTGATGTTGAGCATCTTTTCATGTGTTTGTTAGCCATCTGTATGTCTTCCTTGGAGAAATGTCTGTTCAGTTCTTTGGCCCATTTTTTGATTGGGTCATTTAAAAACACGCTTATTTTTTATTTGGCTGTGTCAGGCATTTAGTTGCATCATGCAGGATCTTAGGTTGTGGCACACGAACTTTGTAGCTGTGGTGCACAGGCTTAGTTGCCCCCATAGCACATAGGCTCTGAGTTCCCCAACCAGAGGTTGAACCCACGTCCCCTGCATCGCAGGGTGGATTCTTAACCACTGTACCACCAGGGAAGTTCCCAGAGGTATTTTAAGAACAGATGATACATAGTACCAGGAGAAAACAGACAAGAAGAATTGCAGGGCACCGTAAGGGGAACTCAAGACCAGTGAGCTTTGTTTCTTTGTATTGTTTGCTTTTTGTTACCGGAAGCATAACTAAGGGAATGTCTTGCAATATCTTCTCTGTTCTGTGGTCTGGGGCAGGAGCTCATCTTCAGGATCTAGGTGATCCTGCTAGAAGCCCAACAGTAACCAGTATAGTGCCTAGGGCTTCTCAGGTGGTGCTAGTAGTAAAGAGCCACCTGCCAGTGCAGGAGACTTTAGAGATGCAGGTTCGATCCCTGGGTCGGGAAGATCCCCTGGAGAAGGAAATGGCAACCCACTCCAGTATTCTTGTCTGGAGAATCCCATGGACAGAGGAGCCCAGCAGGCTACAGTCCATGGGGTCAAAAGAGTTGGATGTGACAGAGGTGGTTTAGCACGCGTGTGCGCGTGCACACACACACACACACCCCCCAAGTCCTTGTTAAATAGCTGTTGAATAAAAGAATGAATGACTGAGAAGTAAATTATTTAACAGACCTAAGGATCCCATAAGAACTCTTGGGCTTTATGAAAATGGAAGAAACTGATACTAACACCCAATTTCTTCCCTCTGTGTCCTACTTTCTTACAACTGAATGTGTTAACTATCCTTTCTTGGCAAAGGCTTTGGAAAAAAAAAAAAGAAAACAAAAAACCTAGAAATGTCCAGATGGATCTAACATGGGTGACAATCCCCAGAAGTGAAAAAGTTCCAAGATTGATGACTAGACCTCCTCCCTCTATACTGAGCCAGTGAAGTTGCATCCAACATTTTCCATGTGAATTGTTTACAGCCAAAAAGATGAAACTGACTATAGTCTTTCAGCCTCGTGTCTCTGTTCTGTCAGCTCAGGCGCCTTGGGCAGTGCTAGGCTTGACCACTGTGAGCAGACCTCACATCCGTCCTGGATCTGCCCCACTTTTTTCTTTCTTTTCTCTCCATAACCTTCCTCTTTTTTCCTCCCTTTCTCTTTGCTTTCCTCATGCCTTCATTTTCCTTTTCTTTCACATCTTTCTTTACCTGTGTTCAGGGATTGTAATTCAACATCAGTGTTACTCAGGGTCAAAGAACATGCTGCTTTCTCACTGAAATCAAGTTTCTTGTCACCCTGGGTCCCTGAAGACTCTTGAGTATAGTTGCACATTCAAGATCATAACATGACTAATCCATTTAAATTCCACAGCAGTGAGAGCCAGAAATCCTTCTATAAATCTCCCTCCTCCCGAGAATGTATCCTAAGTTGTCTTGTCTTACCCCACCTAACCCAAGATGATGCCAATCTCCCTGTTCAAGATTTTTTTAGAGATTGGTATTACTGAGCGTATCCGCCATGACAGCAGTGTAGATTGATTACAGTGACTCCTACTTCCGAGTCTATCTTTGAAATTTGTACCCATCTTTTCTCTGCATTGTGGGCTTCCCTTGTGGCTCAGCTGGTAAAGAATCGGCCTGCAATGCGGGAGACCTGGGTTTGATCCCTGGGTTGGGAAGATCCCCTGGAGAAGGGAAGGGTTACCCACTCCAATATTCTGGCCTGGAGAATTCCATGGAATACACAGTCCATGGGGTCGCAAAGAGCCGGACATGACTGAGTGACTTTCACTTTCACTTTTCTCTGAGTTGTAGCTATGGGTAACTTCTACTACTTGCCTAATAATAAGTGTTGGTTCTTCCTTTTTTTTTGGCCATGCACCACGGCCTTTGGGATCTTAGTTCCCTAACCAGGGATTGAACCTGTATCCTCTGCGTTAGAAGGCGGATCTTTAACCACTAGACTGCCAGCCTCCCAAAGTGTAGCTCCTTAAATCTGTCACATCTCTGCTCAAAACCTCCACAGGCTCCCCATTTTCCCTAGAATAAAGTCCAAATATTGTGTCACCTGGAACCCTAAAAAACCTGGCCCCAGTT